TGCTGGCGCTATTTTTTCAGCTGTTTGGAAGTACCTGTACAAGCTACATATTCGTGTTTCTCCCAGAATTACTTCAAGGAAAGATTCATGCAAAAAGGGATGTTTTTCTACTTTGGAAAACTGTAATTTTACGTGGAGTTCTTTTCCAGTGTTGTTATAACAGAAGAGACTGGCAGCCCCGTGGCAAGGAGAGATAAATAGCACGAGTAGCACTCTTTATGTTCTACATAAGTTCTTATTCTGGATTTTCTTTTTTTTTTTTTGGTAACTCTGGTTGTGTGTGTGTACATATATATGTATGTATATATATAAATTAAAATAAATGGTTATCACATTCCAAGGCATTTTGAATGATTATAAAAACAACATTCCTCATTTGACTGATTGGTGCTAGATATTTCAAAATGCTTTCTGGCTTGTTTATACCAGTTGTTTTACTCTGGTAAGTTGTTATATGTGTTTTATTATTGCCTTTATTTTAAGATGATACAGCTGTGGAATTTGATGCCATACTTTATTCCTCAAAGCAAAATCTAATGACGTGATAATATTTGTTCTAGTTCATTTCACTGAAGTGGGTGAGCTAGGCTAGTATTTAAGCTGCTTAACTATTGATTTTTCTCATATTTATGATGTATTAAAATGGAAATGATTTTTTTTCCCTGCACAGTGGTGCTAAGTGGCCTGTTCCAAGCCTTTTCTATCTTAGAAAAATGGTACATAGACCTAAATAACATAAGAGAAACGAATTTGGCTTTATTTACTGTTAGTAGTTTGTGTCTCATGTCAAAAATAGCAGAATTATTCCATCAAGACTGAATAGCTTTCAACAGCTCTGTGTGTTGAAGTGCCCATTTGTGTTTTAGCTAGCGCCTCCTTAGATCTTTCTGTTCTGGAGCTGTTAGTCAATAAAATAAATTTTCTCTTGTAAAATTATATAGGGATTTGACTTAGAGTAGGCTCCTTGTGCCGCTCAGCATTTTTCTGTGTCGTAGGGTGCGTGTAGCCTAGTCCACTACTGCCTTTTCCATTTTAGTAAGGCGTTGTCTGTGGACTTGTCACTGCAAATGAGAGTTACGTGTAGCAGCATTTCATAAGACAGTGGAAATGCTGTTTATATAAATTAAGTGAAGATGTGATCTAATTAGCTCTCTCTAGGCTTAGGTATGGGCTTCCAAAGCCACGAGAAGCCAGCAAGCTTTACCTGCCACTCTTGCCCCAGGGAGCTGCTGTCTATGCAGTTTTCATCTGTCAGGAGAGATTTTGCACGGGGACCTGTGTCTGGCTTGGTAGAGTCATGTTTGAAAAGTTCTTTTAACCGTTCTTATCTTGCTAGTATCTCTTTGGGGTGCCTGCACATACACACATACAGATGTGTTACTTATGGAGAACACCTTGTTTCACTAGGCTCAACTGGCCCCAGTCTTCACATTATAGACAAGATGAAAGGTGAATGTTTAATTCGATTTCAAAGGTGGGAAAAGTTGGGCTCGATTACCAAGTTAGAAACAAAACCATGGGAAAGGAAAAATAAGACAATAATAGTTTGAGAATATCCAAGAATTCTGTTTAGGTACTACAGTTAATGCAGGTAAAGCAATTGGTTGCTGTATAGTCTAGGATTTAGGAATGATAGTTGTCCTATATTTTAACTGTTGTATTCCTTCTACTTTAAGGGATGTTCCTGTTGTTCCCAATTGAAAGACTTTTAGAACTTAGAAATCATAGATCAAAGCAATATGCTATAAAATTTGCATATTATTGCTTTAGTTTTTCATGAGTGCAGTATATGATTTTATTAATATAGGTACAAACTCTGCCACCTAAGTGGCATTTTTGTGTGTGTGTGTGTGCGCGCCCTGTTTTGGTATTTCCGGGTGACAGTCTAACCAACAGTTTGAATTCTACTTGATAGAAATGTATCTGAATTTTCTTCTGCCTTAATTTTCTTTGGCATTCACTTCAGGTGTGTGGGATGGTTGTACTGTCTGGTATGACAGCCTCAGTCCTCTAAATCTTCATGATCAGTCTGTGTCTAAGATTTGCATATTCTTCTTTGTGTTTTTTTTGTTAGATATGTCCTATCATACTGTTTAGCATAGTTAGAACTTTACAAAATTAAGATTTTGCATCCTAATTACCAAAATTCCATTTCTTTGGCAACTGCAATATTATCTAGTCATTAAAAATATTCTGCAAGTTCATTTTCTTGTCTTGTGAAAACCGTGCTCTGTAGATCATTCTCCTTATTTTCCCTTTCAAACTTGCTTTACCTTTAAACTTTTCATGGCTCGTGTGCACCCTAATATCATCCTTCGTTCTTCCCAAAAAACTATTCTGAATGTAATATTCTGGATATGATAAACCCACACTGGTTAGCTGCTAAAAGTGCTTTTTTTCCTATGAAGTCCCTTTAGAAAAGCATTTTCACCCCCAAATCCTTTCTTAAATTCTTCTTGCTATGTGATCTGCATAAAGGCTAGATAAGAGTTAATCTCTTGGGGAGCTAAGAATTTTGTCTATTCGACTGACCAACATCAATTAAAAGTAAATAAATAAAAGTCCCAAAGAGTAATTATTTACTGTATTTCAGCTGATCTTCAGTAACTGTCTATGACTGTGCTCTTAGCCTGTGGCAAATGCAAGGTAATTTGAGTCAGCATAGTCGTCTTTCATTGAGTGCAAACTGCAACTTTTATAGTTAAATATTTATTAACGCTTGAAACCCCTTTCTTGTACTAAAACTGTGCCCTCTTTCATTGAGGGCTAATGTGACATGAATGGCCTGTGCAGTTACTGTGGGCCTGAGCGTGGGCACATGGACAGTTACCTGGCAGTTATCTGGTGTAACAGTAACTGCACAGTTCACAGAAGGCACAAGGTGAAATAGCCTCCTAAGTGGGGAAAAGAAATAGGCAAAAGTCAGAAATACAGGTTTTTTCCCACTTCCAACATGTTGGTTTTTAGGTTCTTATTTGCTTTTAATTTCTCTACTGTAATATATGCTTTGTTAGTAATGTATTATTCTAGATATTTCTACAAGGAAGCCTTTGGGAATTTGATTCCCAATGTGGTGGAGGCATTTTCTTCCTTAAAAATTCTTAATCTAATTTTCCTCTGATATCTATCCTGTCTTTATGGGTGAAAAGAAGTTGAGAGAATTTTTTTTTGCTTTTGTTTATGGAGTTGCATAAGCCTGTCATGCTAGTGTTTAGACTGCTTATTTAGATATATTTAAAGATAGGCATTTAAAATCAGGATAGAACTGAAGAAATAGTGATCTGAAATTTGGAGGTGGAGGTAGGATTCCTTTAAAGGCTTGTCAAATAAAAACAAAGAGAATGTTTAATTTTTCCTTAAATAGTAATCTCACTATCGTATTCTTCAGACTTCATTTAAAGCAAATATGTCAAGACTAAAATTAATAGTTAAAAATGATACGGCTTAGATATGGCTGTGTTTTATTCTCAAAAGTGTTTCAACGGAGGGTTTTTCTACTGGTAGTGATTTTTAAGAGAAACAAGTTAAGCAGCTGCTGTATTAACTGTACAAGTTTTATTTTTCAATGGGTATCAACTTTGAGATTTATCTTAAAAGCCTTTGTTCTTCCTATTTTCTGTGGAGAGATATATTCTACCTTCCATATTATGGAAAAACTGTACTATAAACATTAGTGTTAATAGCTTAGTATTTTAGTCCTTCACAAATTAATGCCTGTGGTAACTGGATGATTTTAAGCCTGTTCTTATAAACAAGGCCTTACTGATGTGCAAGGAACAGTAATATGTGGCAAGAACTTCACATTAACCAAGGTAAGCAGTATAAATGGGGTGTAGGAATCCCCTGTTAGACTAAAAATCTCCAAGAGAAAATCTCTAGAGCCTACAAATTAAAGACCTCCAATATCATTTTAAAATAAAGCCTTTTATGTAGTATGAGAGCATTTTTTCAGCTGATAATCAAATGACACTATTATGCAGGCTTACTAGATTTGCAAATTTACAAGTTTTTACAAGTCAGTTGGGTCCCTTCCTCAGGAAATCAGTTTAAGTTTTTTTTTCCTGTATTGACTCAAAGAGCCTAGTTGTCCTTAAATCCTTCTGAATATATTTGCCTTATAATTTGACGGCATTGAGTCAACACCCTTATAGGAACTGTAATGCAATAAAAAGAGAAACTGTTCAATATGGTCTCCAGTTACCTTAGGATCAGATTGGGAGGAATTGGAATGTACACAATAAAACCTGTGCAAGACTTCAGTTCCAGGCTGGTTGCAAGCAGCCAGTGCTTTTCAATATAAAATATTGTTTGAAGGTTTTGCTTTACTTCCAATAGGTATATGATGGTAAAAAAATGAAAACAATGCGTGTGACTCTTGAAATAGAGCATTTTACTGTTCTTAAGGTTTTTCTGAACTGTGTCTGTGTGAAATTGAAAGCACTGCGTGCAAGTAACTGAACATGAATGCATTTACTCAGTTCGTTTTTAATTTAATGAATATTTTTGCTGTACCATATTCTGCAATAAAATTCTTTATAACTTATTTGCATTTTTTTACTTAGGGAAAAATATGTAGATCCAGACATGCTCAGTGAACTCTGCTTTTACTTGTAAGAGTCTTTAGATTACATTGGAATATTCAGTATAATCATGCTGGCAAACAGAATGCTTGGAATGTAGTTCTGTCTCAGATTTTGCATGTAGTTAATAGTAAAGGCATTGCAAACTGCTTGTGTGTTTCCAAAAAAGCATTTATCTTTTACTTTGGATGTGAATTTATGCATTTGACCATACAATTTAAATTGTGACTTCCTTTTAGTTTTGTAAATAAAATCTGCTGTAATGGATTTTTTTTTTGTCAAATGATGGTAAAAAGAAGGAAACTTGCATTTTTGTATGTGTATAAAGAAAAAGATTATCTGAGGTGTTTCTGAATAATATTTTCTAAGTAGTTGGCTCCACTCAAGTAATTTTCCTTTTTTTATATATTTGTCTTTTAGTTGATTTGGAACATATGCGCACAGTGAAAGTTGACAGACACCAACGATTCTGTCAGGAAAACAACTTCAGTAGTCATTTTGTGTCGGCCAAGACAGGCGATTCTGTAAGTAAGCAAAGATTTCCTTTTAGAAATTTTTTATTCTGAAATTTGATGCGGCATATGTTGTACTCCGAATATCAAAGGATTGAGAACTTTAGCAGATAAAGGTACTTTTTGCCTCTCTGCTTGCATAATGAACATATTTGCATGCAAAGATCCTTTTATTTATTTATTTTTTTATTAATGGCAGTGGCTTCTCATCAGATTGGAAGTCTGAGCTATAGATTCTAATTTGAAAATGGCTTGGCTTATCTATCAGCTTGAGAAATGAGGCCAAATGGATCGCTGTTTGCTGTCAGCCTGTAGTTAAATGTATTCCTTTGTTCCAGGTGAAATTCTGTATATAGACCATTGCTATATAAACTATATATATATATATATAGTCAAAAAAGTGATGAGATGGTGTTACAGTCAAAAATTTTGATATGTATCTCGAGCAGAGAGAGACGTGTCCTCTGCATGTTTATTGAAATTTGGGTATGCTGCTCTTTTAATGCTTTGCAAAGTACATTTTTTGAACAATCATTTCCCTGTCCAGTCTGAGATATTTAGATATTTATTGTTGTTGGAAGAGCGTGGAAGAAAAGATTCTTTTTTTCTTTTTTTCTTCCATTTTCCAACTAGCTTCATGAGACAATTTAACTTGTGTTTTGTTCTGCTTGATATCTTTTGCATACTTCATGACTTTACTAATTCTGATTTTAAAGAAGTCTCTGTAATGTTATTTATGCTAGTATAATTTTATATTGAATCATAGGATCATGTTCAATTATATGAAAGTATAATTTTGTAATAAAAATGCAATCACTGGCGGTGTTTTAAGGACTTTAATGAAAGCTCAAAGTCATCGACTTTGCAGTGGACTGCCTAAGTTCGTAAGAAATTAGTTACTGTGTAAAAGTCTAAACACTGCCTTTGCAAATGCAGCATATCTTGGCTTTCCTTGTAGTTTATGTTAAACCTGTTGGTATGGATTTTTCTTTACAAGTTTGAAATTTCTGTTTTTTTTTTTTTTTGTTATAAACAGAAGAAAAATGAATCTCACTCAATGAGATATATATCTCATCTGAGGAGAAAAAAGATCCTTTTTTCTTTTTCACAAAATAGCAATTCTTTTAAAATATTGATGTCGTTAGTATTGCAACTGATTAATGGATCTTTACTATGTTTTTTGTAATTGATTCATAAATTACAGTAGAACTCATGTATATATGTATGTGTATATATATATATTTGTAGTTTCTGTTTCGATATCTGCTGGCAAAAGAAGCTCTGAGATGTAGTTTACAATAGTTCATTTTTAGTTTCGGCATAGACGTGAATTAACTCTTGGGCTTTTACAGCGTGCTGGCATTTCAAAATCTTCCAGAGCTCCTTTATTTGGGTAGTTGCTCAAGGAGGACAGGTTATTTACTCTAGACAGTGATTTAAAAGAGTGGACAATCCATCGCTACTGTGTATATAGACTAGGAGAGTTTTAAATACTTAGGTAAGGTTGATGAGATTATTTGTTTTGTTTAAATCCTATCTAACAAGTTCATTTGGAAGTGCCAAATTTTTGTAGCATAGAACAGCTCAAGTGGCTCCTTAGAGGAGAGTTAAGTTTCATGAAAGACTGACTGTAGTTTGGTGACCCTGTTGTCCGCCCAGCGCGTGACTGCTGCCCTGGGCTCCTGCCTGAAGTTTTGTGTGTGCAACAGCTTCGTGGCAGATGATCTCGCCCAGGGTACCCGAGAGCCTGATGTGCGTTAAGGAGGTACCACGAGAAGGTCTGTCTGCTGGAGACTGCTCTCTGTGCCATGTGGATGCTGGCAAAATAGACCAGGACTAGACCGAGTAGCTAAGGAAGTGAATGAGGAGGCTACTGCAGCTTTTGGGTGGCACCGTTGTTTTTCTTTGCATTGAGAATGACCCAAAGTGCTTTCCTAAGTTTTTCCTTGGGGCTGATAACTGCCACGAAGCAAAGCAATAATGTACTAGAGCTTTAGATGATGAGCTCAGTGGCACAACCCTGTAGGCAGAAGATGCAGTCTTACAATATAGTGTTCAGCTGCAGTACCCATTTAAGATCTGCCATGTTCTCTAGTCTGGTGTTCAATGCAGATGTCTGGACAGTCCAGTTGGTGGCCTGGGTTGAGATGAAGTGAAGGAGTCATTTAAGGCAGCATTGCCCTCCAGTGCTGCCTGCCAGGCCGGTCAAAGCGCAGCTCTGCTGGGCTGCCTCGTGCCGTGCTACATGTTGTTGTTTCCCAGCTGCTGCTGATCAGATGTTCTAATATTTAAAATGATTTGTAAATACGTTCAGAAAAAAATACATCATTGCTTGGCTGTGGTATTGCTAACCTTTTTAAAAACTGTTTGTGGTAGAGGGTTTGGTGAAGTTGAGGCACAATTCTGTTGTTCTGGATTTCAAAAGCCTGCATCTCTCTTGCACAATACACTGTTAAAAAAACATTTTTGTGCTAAACATGGGTGAATACCCTTATTCATATTTTATGGCACTGAGAGTAGTATTTGAGAGGTGGGTTGTGTAAAAGCTTTTTTAAATTTAGGTCTCTGGAGGCAAGGTAGAAGTGTTGCCCAACCATCTAGCGCACTGTTCATTCCTTGTACCATTGTTGAGTTATTTTCCTCATTTTTTAAACAAAATTGAATGTACCAGACGAGGTTATTTTCAGATATGTTTTACACAAGTCCTAATTTCATATATCTTATTGCTTCGAGTTTGAGAGTGGTTTGATATATTTGAAAGAACCTTGAGGATGTCTGTTTTTAATAATTTAAATTCTTTTTTTTTTTTTTTCCCCTAGGTCTTTCTGTGTTTTCAGAGAATTGCTGCTGACATCCTTGGCATCAAATTAAACAAAGCAGAAATGGAACAATCACAGGTGATTTTTCCCAAATGAACAAACAAGAAAAAGTTTTTCTTAAATATTTTATTTAATGTGTCTGTGTATATGTATATGTATGTTTGTGTGTATGTATGTGTATATATATGTGTGTGTGTGTGTGTGTATATATATATATATATATATATATATATATATATATACAGTCACTAAAAGTTAAAAACTTTCCTCTAAAGGAAACTATATCTGTTGTTCTGGAGACAGTAGCTTTTCTAATAACATTTTTTGCAACTTAATATATATTATATTTATGTATTTATATATATCTTTATATATCTTGAATGGTAAATTTGCTAAAACAAGCATATGTATGTTCAACAAATTAGAAAAAAAAGGGAAGTTTGAGAGCTTTTAGTTTAAAAAAAATATTTTTTTTACATACTAAAACTCCGTCATCTGCATATATGGGTAGCATGAAAGACAGTTTACAAATTTGACAAGTTTAAGATGACATGAACTTTTGAAATTTTGGTTGGAGATATTGTCAATTGATGTTCCTTGTAAGCATTTGGGGGAAAAACATATTGTCAATCACAGTCAGGAATTAACTGTGAATCCTATGATTGAGCTCAGAATTTAGATTTTATTGAGAGAGTCTGTGTAAAGTAGGGAAAGAACACAGGTCTTTCCTAAGTAGTGACTGCCTCAGGGATGGAACAGAGACCTTTTTAGGTGGTGCTTCCTAATGAGAAGTGAGTCCTGTTTTAAATCAGCATGCCCATTTTCAACAGCAGGCCTGAAGAAGCCACGTGCTCTAGGTGACCCTGCGTGAGCAGGGGGGTTGGACTCGATGACCTCTGAGGTCCCTTCCAACCTTCGGCATTCTATGATTCTATGATTCTATGATTCTAAGAAACGTATGTTGGCTGTATTACAACTTCTTGCTTCCTGTAATTATTGTTCCAATCCCAAATAATTTCCCTCTAAAGCAGTTTGGGAGTTTCTGCCATTGCATTTCTTGATTTATTTTTTGTGTTATGAGTGTTATCTTGGAGATTTTCTGGAGATTTGCTGTGAATAAGGACTGAGAGAGGAGAGTATTTCACAGCAGCAGATGGGATGGTCTAGGAGGTACTTCTGCAGTCTCTTACAATGATTTGTGGTGAGTTAGAGATGTGAATATAGCAATTTTATTGTGAATACCTGGCAAAACCCAGCATAAACTGTAACTTCATTAATTAAATTTTGCTTACTTGTATCTACTAGAATTTGCACTTAGTTTATATTAGTGAATGTCAGAACAAAAATGTGTTAATTGTTCAAATAAGCAACTAAGCAAGACGTTTTCTAATTAAAGTCACTTTTGCCATACCACCTCCTTCCCCATTCCTGCTTTTAAAAATAATCTCCCTGCCAGGAAAACTGTGTGTTTAGGTTTAAACCAAAAGCATTCTACAAACCCAGTTTCAGAAACCTCAGAAAAATAGAGATTACACTACTCAGGCAACCCTTACTGTATCATGACATTTGAGACTACAATACAGTTATTTTAAATGTACCTTTAAAATTAAAAGGTGGCTGTGTTAGTTAATATTCTGGAATTACTAGTTGCTACTAATATTAAACATGTCCCCCAAAAGAAGTCAAATTTATTACAAAAAGTAAAACATTTCTTATGTACACCTTGGTCTCCTGCTTCTTGAAACACACAATAAATATGTAATTTCTGGAAGTGTTTCACCACGATGATGTTTACAGGCTGTGCTGAAGTGGTCAAATAGAAAACTGTATTGCAAACAGTAAAAGGCTGGAATACACTTGGAGTTCATACCTAACAAGCAAAGCAAAAGAGCTTGGAAAAGCAAGTAGAGGAATACTATGGGTGTCTTTGTAAGGCTCTTTCATTATTAAGGCACCATCCATGTATTGTTCAGGGCTCCATAATGACTGTGCATAAATAATTTGTCACAAAGAGTTGAATTTTTTCTTTGGTTGTTGTAACTTGCATTGGATCATGATTCTTATATCAGTCTGTATTGTGTAAGAGGAAAAAGAAATCTTTCTTAATAATTTGGGTGAAGGTGCACATGTCATGTTAAAGGGGATGTTAGAAATGGGACAGTACTTGCAAGGAACATGTGTAGCTTTCTAAAAAAAACATATCCTTCTTTAAATGAGAACCTGTTATAATCCTGAATCAAGATCATATAACTTTTTGTCAAATCCGTATCAGCTTTAAATACTTTTGTACCTTAATATTGTAATTTCAAGTCATAATTTTGAGACCAACGTATTGGAACATACAACATAGGGATTAGAAAAAGTTGTTGTTATGCAAATTACATTAGCAATAGCCTATGGCTAAAGTTATTTGCATGACTTAGTTCCTGTGGCCTATGAACACATGTTCCTGTGGCCTGGTTAATACGAGTTCAAGCTGTAGTGGTTTCAAAACAAAGGAAAACAAAACCCTAGACCAGTAAGTGAAGTTGGATAGAACAGAAACTCACTGTCTTGCCATTCAGGTGCAGCAGAAGTCTCTACATGTGAGACATTGGACATGCAGCTGAAGAGTGAGAGCTGTAGCTCAACTGTTCAGTCGTGGCAAGATTGTGCCAGTCAAGCATAGTTTCAATCTTGATGGATATCAGAGAGCACTATTTTGAATGGGCAGTAGGAGTTACCCAAAACCAAATCAGTGAGAACCCAGCAGGAATTGTTTAGGAATGTCAGGCATCTGAATGTGTTGGTGGATGGAGCTGAATTCGTAGCCCTTATTTAAGGGAAGTCTTTGCATAAGGTAGGAAGAGGAAAACTTCAATCTTCATATCCTCTGAGAGGTGAATAGGAGGACATTTCCTGAGAGGAATATGTGTTTGTTAGCCTGCAGTGCAGAAGCCCAGTTGAAGTTGTATGTGGGTGCTATATCCAAAAGCATGGAGCTGGTTTCTTGGCGGAGATGGGGAGGTGCTAATGAACTTACTGTTGTGCAACTGAAGTGCTACACTGGAACACAGAGATGTGGAGCTGTGCTTTGGTTTACCATGGGTTTTTTTCATGTCTGGGACAGATCACTTAATGTGTCTTTGCTCCCACCTCCCTATTCTGCAAAGTGGTTATTAGGCTTCCTTACATTGTGGATCAGTTATGTGAGTGTGTTTATTCAAACTTCTAGGCACTGAATACTCTAGCTGTTAGAGCATAAAAATAGACTGATACTACAAAGAAACAGAAGAGAGAGATGAGCAAAAAAAGAAGCAATCATGAGTTGTTTCTAAATAAATAAATACACAAACATGACTTGGAACTTGGATCACATCTTTTAACAAAGAGTATATATAGCTTTGCGAATGTGCAGTAATAACATTCTGTATTATGTCTTTGAATTTTGAATATTTTGTGTAATATGAGGATGAAATTAGATTTCTTGGTTTTGAGAAATGAAAAAGTTTTTGCTTGAAGACATTTGTCAGAAAATCAAATATCTTCAAATGTAACGCTTTTAGTCTAGGTGGCAATTAAGCATAAAATGAAATAACAGATTTGTCTGAATCACGTTCAGGGATTTGCTATTTTATGTATTATTACATCTTTCTTTGTTATTCCTAGTTGTCTAATATTGTGAATACTCTTTTAAAATATTTCCGTCACCTGTGGATTTTATGTCTGAAGATCATGTTTCTCATGGTCTTTGTTGTTGGTTCTTTTTTTGTTGGCTGTTGTGGGTTCTTTTTTAATCTAGTTGTCACAGCCACTAGGAAGATCCTGGAAACAATTCACATAGTAGTAATAGGAAAACAATCATTACTTTAACTCGCGTGAATTTGTGCAGTTTGTCTCATGCAACATTGCTGAACTAGCAGAATGGCAGGAAACCTTCTGCTGGCATGGATGTGGTTCCTGATCCCCTTCCTAATCAACAGCTTTATAAGTTAAGCTAAGTTAATTGTTAATTAAGCGCAAGAACAAGCCTTGGAAATAAAATCTTTACCACACGTTGTTTGGGGGCAGTTTAAGACGTTAATGCAGGGCAAGCTATTTGTTACTGCTTCCTTGCAGGAATTTATTGCTCCCGGAGCTGAATCAGAGAACGGGAGATGATCGTTCACCTTGGGCAGGCCAGGGTGAAGCTGAGCAGCTTGGCTCGGACGGCTGCTGCAAGTTGTTCTTAAGGGAAGCTGCCAGGCCGAGGCGCGAGCGCGCGTTACGTCCCACCAGCGCTCCTTGGGCAGCGCTCAGCCCAGCAGAAAACCCGAGCACACGCTTGGGGGCGGCCGGTTTTAAACCTTCGCAGCTCGAGCTGCTACATGTTGTCTGTTAACATGCTGAGGCGACTGTTAATCCAAGCTGTATTTAGTCAAAACTGTGGTGAAACAAAGGAATAGATTACCGTTTATGTGTGCCTGGAAAGGAGAGAATGTTTTTGAAGTGGAACGGTTCCAAAATAAGTCAGAATCTGCAATTTTCTTATTTTCAGTCCTCAAATTGCGCTCTCTCCCTTAAATCACAAGGGTCTGCTGAAATTTAAGGAAATAGATCCTTTACTAATCAAATGTTTTTCTTTCTATATTTTTTACTTTCAACCATATTATAAAGACTGCATGGGGTGCAGCTTTGTTCCCTGGCATTGGCAAGAGCTAGCCTTTTTGCAAAGGCTATATAATTTTCTCTTTAATTAAATGCCAGTTTAGTAAGCCATGGTGTGTGTGTGTGTGTGTGTGTGTGTGCGCGCACCAGCTTTGCACAATAAAATGGCTCGTGTTAGATATGGAATTCAGAGCACCTGCCCCTATTAAAGGGGATTTCTTCTGATTGCTGACAGTGGTTTGAACCTTGGCATTGATGCTCCTAACCTCCAAACTGATACAAAGATGCCCAAATTTTTATTTTATATGAAGTTAATTAAAGAAATTGCAGTGCCGTGGAGGTTTTTTCCTGTTTAGCTGGAATTCCTTTAGAAAATCCAAGTCATTTATGTTAGTCAGTTTTCTGCTACAAAGTGACTAAACCTGGGTCACTACCCGAACTCTGTGTTTACATGATGGGATTTAGACCAGTGTTTGGAGGAACAATTAATTGCTCACTGATTGCAAACGTTCTTTTTTTTTTCCTCAACTCTAGTCAAAAGATTGGTATGAAGAAACTAGGTCTCATGAGGTCAGATAACAGTGTTTAATGCTAAACCTCCATCTACCACCTTACATGGGATTTGGCAACCTTTCACTTGATAACATCAGGCCAGGAGTCTAGTAAATCATGAGTGTTGTCCTCCAGATAAGATAATATGAACATGATCAATTAAACCCAAGGAGAGTACATCAGCAGCTAATAAATCCAGATCCTTTACCAGACAATTCGATCATATTGCTTGCGAAAGGATTTTATTTACAGAGGTAATTATTAACATATGCCTTTTATATCATATAATCATATTTATTAGTGTTTCCTTTAAAAAATAACATTTCTCCATTTTTTACCTCAAAAGTATGCTAAGTAAAACATGAAGTATTTAGGAAAAATGATTACCTTGATAGCATGTTTCATAGCAGACTTCCACACTTACTTAGCAGACTTGCATAGCAGACTTACTTTGTTCAAATTGTAATACGCATTTACTCTCTTGTACATAAATACTATATTAATAGTTATATTTTCATTGGTAATGCATGTCTTTAAGTTGGAAAATGAGACCTTTTTTATTTTTACATAAGGTAAAGTTTTGGTCAAGAAAATTAAGGCTGACAGTAAAACTTCCATATAGCATGTAGATGCGAGCTTACCCATTTAGCTGCTTTTGGAGTAATGTGTAGCTTTAGTGCTATTAATTATGTAATGGGAAAGATGCATGCACCATTTTAATGCAGCTGTTGTGTTAGTTGATGGGAAGCTGATTAATACAATGTTTCCTTACTGTAGATTTAAAGGAAGAGTCCATTGTCATCTTTTCTTTCACTGAATTGTCTTCCTTTTAATCCTCCTCTTGTCTGAACTTTACCATATGTTTATTGGTTGCACATATTTCCCCTTGGTGCTTTGAAAAACCATGTCACTGAAGAAGCTTGAGAAGCAGCTCTGATCCTGCCAGTGAAACTTCCAAGTGGGCATGTTTTTCTTGTTCAGCATAGGGGCTGAAAAAAAATGTGCTTTGGTTTTGCATCTGCATTTGTCATTTTATGTCATTCATTCCTTCATTTCAACTACTGATCAGACTTTTTGTTTTTTCCTTCTTTTGTTTTTATATTCTTCTCCTTTCTCTTTATCCATTTTTTCTCCTTATCCATACAACATGTATAACAGCATGTTGTCAGGGCAGAACTAGTGAAATATCCTGAAGAAGATAACCAGCATCACAACACTTCCAACTGCCAGAGCAAAATCTGCTCAATGCAGTAATCCAGGTATTGATGTAAAAGTTTTTCTGTTGTTTTTTTTTCTTTTTTTCTCCTGTTTTTTGTTTTGTTCGGATTTTGTTTTCCGCAAGGATGTGTTGCTTTTACATGAAGTAGAGGCAATTCTATTGGAGAATTCGTTATATATTTATAAGCAGTAATAATAGCATATTAGTTTGGAACTTAGTGCACCATTACATGATACTTATTTCTAGAGAGCTAGTTCATAGCAACTTGTATTACTGTGTGCTAATACATTAGAAGGGCTTTCAGTGACGAATATCCAAAATACTACATAGCTGCCTCAAATGGAAGCAATCACAAAATTAAAATCTTTTGTCTCTTTCCTCACATAAGAGAGATGAAGTGTCCTGTCAAATGCGTTATAAGTAGAATTGGTAACGCTTGTTGAAGCTGTAATAGAAAATAAGTATTTATAGTCTGCAAACATTTGTTTTATATTGTTCTTTAGTCTTTCTGCATGTCAGGGCTGTTCTGAAATATGGTTGTTTTTGAAATTTGCTTTGAATTCTGGCCTTATTTCCTCTGCAAAGAGATTGGGGCAAAGAGGGAAAAACAAACCTACAATTTCCAATTACAGTGTATGCATTTATTCATAAAGAATGCATTCAGTAGCCCTTATAAAACAAAATGCGGTTTTGTTATTTTCGTCTTATTTCCACACAAAACAATTTTCTTGAACGAGCAAATACATTCGGTCTTTTTGCAAAAAGGTCCCATTACAGTGTTAGTTCTGTAAAATTGTCGCGAAAGCTTACTGAGTCACTTCTTCCTACTTAGCATGAATAAGCTAGTACTTGGAGAAAGAATTAGCACCTGATAAGGTGCTGAATAAAACTGAATTGTCTGTTCTTCCTAATGTTCTGTTCTGTTCTTTGATGTATGATAGTAAAATACTCATTGCATACTTTTGTATTGTGTCTGATTATTGCTGTGTTTTCTTTTATAACAGAGAGTGGTGAAGGCAGATATTGTCAACTACATTCAGGAACCCGTGTCAAGAGCCGTTAATCCTCCTAGAAGCTCAATGTGTGCAGTTCAATGACCATATTATTTTTCTCTGTATTGATACCTTTGGCAGTCCTCCTACCTTGACACAGACTCCGGGATTGCCAGGAACTTTGTTTGAACAGTGACCATCGTTGCAATGCAAGTAGGGGTTCCAAAAACGTGTTGCACCATTGTATGTTGAAAAGCAGCAGGCAGTCTTTTGACTGGCTGGGTTTCAAATATTAGACCACACACTTTGTAATATTAAGATCTATATTCTTTCAAATTATATTCAATAAAGCGGTTATAACTGTGTTTATACATTTCCTCCTCTCTATTTGACTGATAATGGAATTAAATTGGATAAGAAGTCCTGCATTTTAAACAATTTTAGACATCACTGCTGAAAAGTATTTTGCCAAAGTATTTTGTCGTCTTTTTCCCTCCTCACGTCCTCTGATCCAAACTGACACTGAGCAAAATGTAACTTGGAAAAGCCATTGTTGGAATAATGTTGAGTAAGTAATATATTTTATCTAGGGATAATTTGGAAAATATTCCATTATTACATATATTTATATATAGTGCAAAATGTATAAATTGTATCCAGTAAGAAACAGTGCTTGAAATAAAGCTGTAATATGAAAACAGTTACTTTTCTGGAGTCTCAAGTTATCTTTATGAATGCTCTGAAAAATGTTAGTTTTTTTTTTATGTATTTTTATTGCCAGATTGGCATTACTTCCTGCAGTAGATATGCTCGTATGTCTTCATGAATATGGATGAACCTCAGTTGGCAGTTTGGGCTGTTCATGTTGAGTGATATATTCAGCATGCATTAGGAACTGTTGATAGATCAATTAGGATCAGTCATTTTCATTAACTAAGTGAATGAATGACTTTTGGCCTGGTGCTCTTTTCTTTCTAGTTGAGAGCGCAAGACACAAAGTTGACTGCTCGCTCTTGTTTGCTCTGTGGTCAACATATTTTTCCTCCAGTCTTTTTCTAGAAGTGTTTTAGATATGCAGTTCTCTTCTGGCACGTCTGAACAGGGAGCTAAGCGAAGAAAAAAGATTTCAGCCAACTTGATTTCAGCAGAGAAAGCAGCAGAGAAAGCTTTTCCTCTTCTAAGTCTAGAATGTGCTTTCTAAAAAGCATAACAAAACATTTGGAGATTAAGAAAGTTAATGAGGCCGAGCAAAGAAAGCTTATATATCACAAGTGAGAAATGGCAAGGTCCTTCAAGTGAGTACTACTATTAAGCTCCCTAAGCAAGTGCTTATTGGTTTCAACAAATGTGTTAAAAAAAAAAAAAAAATTCAAATGGCAAGGATGTGTGATATTATTTTGTTATATTCCAAGTTCCTTTAAAGACAAAGTTAATTTTTAAACTACTTTATATGCAATTTGACCAATAGTTTTATTGCTACATGTTAAAAATTGTGATTTTGGTGTTTTTAGGATTCAAATATGGGAAATTCTCAAAAAACAATTTGAGATACTGAGAATTTACCCCCAGACTGAGCTAGGTGTGAATCTTCAGTAAGTTATTTATGCTAGCTTGCTGTTTGTATTCTTGCTCCTGTCACATGGTAAAAACATTGTATATGTTGCCTTGTAGTTAAATGCAGTTGAAAGGTGAAATATCATTCAGAAGAGAAAACTAGCTTAAACAGATATCTTGAAATAGATGAGTTTGCAAATTTATACATAGCATATGGTAAGCTTTTCATTTGTATCTTCAAATTTTTTTCTTGTGATCCTGAACTGTGTTCACATATTCAAATATTCATTGAATATTTGACTTGCCTCTAGGACCTGAGCACAACCTCTTGAGACACATGAACAACCATCTTCCTTTAGTGCTTGCAAGTCAACTTCATAGTACTGCTTCCAAATTATATATGTAGCATGGTCCTAAAACATGAACATTTTTGACACTGCAGAAAGTTTTTTTCCGCATAGAAATAAGATGCCTGTGTTGAAGTTATTCAGGTACTTAATTGGCAATGATGTTGCCATGCTCTGTTCTTTTCATTGCTGCTGTTGATGTTGGGGAAGTTCCATCTGCAGGACCAAGGCAAGCAAATGCTTTAATAGGTTGTGCTTCTTGTGTGCTTCTGGTGTGCAGGCTCGGATGGTGGGAGAGTCATAGTTTTAAACTCGTGACTGCTCCAAAAAGCTACCTGTGTATGTGATAGCACAGCACTGAGACAACAAGTGATGTTAACAACACCCTGGCTAGCCTGTAAAAAGGAATCCTTAAAGAGTGCAGGTCTGCTGATGTTTTTTCCCTTGCAATGTAAACTGAGACATCCACCCTAGATATAGAATGTCAATATGAACTGGCCTTGGTAGGTTAAAATGAGCAAAAATTGATAGTGTTTTTCTTGTAAGAACTTTTGTAATCTTACTTTTGGGAAAAGAATGCTTTTTTTTTTTGTAGCCTTTTAAGTAAGGCTCATTATTAATAAAATAATCAAAAAATTTTGCTTTTAAACACTTAGGAAAAATCTTCACTATGAAAGCTGGTCTAATCTATTTTACAGCTGTTCTTTTATTCTCAATGTTTGCTTTTCTAGCTGTCTTTGACTCTTACTTCTTTTTGTGCTTTCCTCTCATGGCTCTTCTCACTGTTTTTTGTTTCGGCCCTACCTTCTCTGAATGTATTTGTGTTTATATTTCAAAGCCATTCTCATTCCTTCTCCCTAGCATGCATGTCTATTATTTACACTATGAATCTCTTGTCTTCTGTGCCCCCAGCGCCTTCTGCTGCTGCCCCTCTTAACCTCCTCACATTTTCTGTGTTGTATACTGACTTCCACTCTCCCTGCCTTTCCCTAGCCTTGCTACTCCATTTAGATCCATTACCTGTCCACATTTTAATCCTTACAAATGAGCTTTGCTCTTTTCACTCAGCCCCGAGGACCCCACCCTGAGTGTTCAGATTCCAGCTGCAGTCTAAATCCTTGGCTGGGGTAGCTACCTTTGAAGTAGTGCAGCAGCTGTTGTTTCGGATTCAGAGGTGCCTCTGCCATCTGTAAGGCCTGAGTTCCACAAGGCTGAGCAGAAAGGTCAAAGATAATTCTGGAGGATTAAGCAACCTGGAAAGAGGGGGAGGACTCTGCCCTACACAGAAGGCAGAGGCTATCTGGAGACTGAAGCGATAGAAGGAAATTTAGCCAGAGGGATGTGGAATGGGAAGGCCAGGTACCCAGTGTCCTTCCATAAGCATGTTGCGTTCATTGCCTCTCCACATGATCCACATGCTGTTGAGCTTAAGCATGTGCCATATGAATCTGTCTAAAAGTTCCTTGCAAGGTGAGAATAGGTTGAAAGCAGCTTGGCAAACAGTAATGAAGTTAAATAACGCAGTGCTTGCCAGAAGTGAGGCCACAGGGTACAGAAATGCTGATGCATCTGCTTAATTTCTGTGACATTAGGGGGATGGAAGGGCCTTGTTCAGGCTCTAATCTTACACAGATATACAGTGGTGAAATGATTGCTTGCTTGAAACTGTTAAAACTGCTAATTTTGGTAATAGTTCTGTATCTAAAGATTGTTTCTAAGTTCATCTCACCTCTCCAGCCTGCCTTAACATGATGTTGTATACCAATATACTTACATTCTGTCTAATTATATATTAGATTGCACGTGCTTTCAAAACATATATTTGAAGGTTCATTGGTACAACTTTTGGTAGTTTTGAAAAATTTGTTGGGGCCAAATTTAGTCTTTTTTTCATAAACAGCAATGTTAAGATGTTGTCTCTTGGGGCCGACTGTATTGAGTGCCAGAACTCATGGTGGAGTTCATGATCTCTTCTCTGAATATGTTGTTCTTTGACAGTTCATAAAAGTTACAAAAACATATGAGACTTCTTTTTACCAGAATAACTTCATATATACGTTTTTAAAGGATACACAAAAGATCGTTAGAAAAAAAAATGTTACTTTTTGAGGAATTTGAAAATTGTAGGTGCTGTCAATCTGCAGCATCGAAATAGGTACAAAATCTGATCCAGAGAAGACTGTTTGAGTGTCACGGGAAAGAAGGGGCTATTGGATCAGATGCTTTCTTCCAATTGCAAAGCTAAATTTATTGTCAAAATAAATACTGTCAACTCCATTTGATAATGAGCCTGGTAACCAATATTTTTTATTAAATAAATAGGATGAGGAAAGAACCTAGTGATATTTTTAAAATGTTGATTTTTTTCATTTGCCTATGTTATTTTTTTTCATAAAAGAAAGTTTATAATCTTTATTTCATGTTATTTGTGACTTTTTCATACAAGGTGTAGTACAGAATTCTGTATAGAAGGTGTCTCAGTTCCCTGTGTTGTAAAACTGCTTAAATTAGGCTGGACTAAACTTTGAAACATCTGCTTCTAGTGACTTTGTAAGATTAAGGTAAGACCATATAAGATGAAGGTGGAAGGAGGAACTCTTGAGGGAACCAGGGTTGCAGGTGATCAGGTAAGCTACAAAATTCACACTCAACAAATGTAGCAAAACACATTGGAAGAAGCCTTTTGCATATAATTCTTAAATGATCTGAGACCAAAGATTCTGGTGGCACTGAAGTCCTGTCAAGACATGCCTTTGCTATGGCTGAAAGTCTGAGCTGATGCAACAGCTTTAGCTGATTGGAAATGCAGCAAAAAAATACTCTTTAATTTTATCTTCTACCTTTTCAAAATAAATCTTGGTGTCTAACCAAAGCTGTACTGTACTGTTCATATTTTGTCACTGATGGAAGACTAAAATGCTATCCCTTAGCATAAATAATTACTCTATAACCATCAGAAATTTTCAGAGAAAAAAATGCTATTTAAATACTTGCACGCATTAATATGCCTATATCACAGCTCTGATAGATGTGCTTAAAGCAGCATAAAGCAGCAATGACTTCTGTACAAAGGTTTTTTTTTTTTTTTTTTGGCTATCTTATAAGCAACTCATAACCAGTTAAAATGTCTGAATGCTGCTGAAAACAAAAAGCCAAAATTTCCAGGGAATAATAGCATATACATATGAGATTAAAATATCAGTCAAGCTAATTACCCATAGGAAGCAATTTTATACTCTGATTTCAGGTACTGTGAATAGAATGTGATTAGAATTTAATGTGCTACTGTTTTGTTTGCAAAATACACAGATCGTATATAAAACCTCTTTTTATAATGTACTCTCTAGAAACCTTGGGGATCCCTGTTTAACTTGCAAATGTCGAAGTTTGATCTTCCCCAAATAGAAGATAGTGAAGCTCCTGAGCTCCACAAACTGATTTCTATTTTCGGCTTCCCATAGAGAGCTGGCTGTTCAGACAATTTAAATCTCTAATTTTTTTGTCTCCCTCTGTCTCCCTCTGTCTCCCTCTGTCTCCCTCTGTCTCCCTCTGTCTCCCTCTGTCTCCCTCTGTCTCCCTCTGTCTCCCTCTGTCT